TCACAACCCTGAGGTCAGCCTGTCGTTATCCACATTTGAGGGACGAGGAAACCACTGACACCAAGAAGTAACAGCCCACAGAAGAGTCCCCCAGCTAGTGTGTGGAGGACAGGGCATTCCAACCTGGGCAACGTGACCCCAAAGCCGGCATTCTCGACGACAAAGCCATAATCCTGTGCAAATGTTGAAGCCCAGAGAAAGGAAGAGACGTCCCCAGTGACACACAGCCAGACAGGAAGACCGATTCCGGTGAAGAGCCACCCCCAACCCCTACCCCCGATACAAGGAGGATACTGGCCACAATGAGGATGGTGCAGAAGCTGCAGAGGCCGAGACGGAGTGGCCCGATCCAGGGAGCCCCGGGCTGGGGCAGGTTCTTCAGCCTCCACAGGAGGAGCTGCAGCCAGAAGTAGGCGTTACCCAAGATGAAGGCAAGGAAGGCCCCTGCTAAGTGCGTAGGCCGCTGGTTCTTTTCCTGGGAGGAGAAGGGAGGAGGGTAAGGGGCACCAGAGGGCCAGGGCCTTTCACCAACGTAGTAGACAGTGATCGCCAACTTTCCATACCCAGCGATGGGCCGGTTAAGCACGTCGGCTACTGTCAGCTCCACAAGGGCGGGCGTTTAAATCTGTTGTTCGTGCTATAGCCTTAGTTCCTAGGACAGTGATTGGCACATAGCAGATGCTCTGTAAATATGAGTGGAATAAATCTTGCATTCTCAAAGCAGAGGACAGATATTTCCCCAAAAAATTGGTCTTGCAGGTGAAAAATTCTCAAATATTAACAGTTGTATGTGACTCACAGATACACAGCATAATATTCCATTAAAATTTTAAAATACTTAAAATTTCGGCCTGGTATGATGGCTCACATCTGTATTCCCAGCTCTTTGCAACGTGAAGCAGGCGGGTCACTTAGAGCTCAGGAGTTTGAGACCCACCTGGGCAACATGACAAAATCTCGTCTCTACAAAAAATACAAATATTGCCGGGCACGGTGGCTCACGCCTGTAATCTCAGCACTTTGGGAGGCCAAGGCAGGTAGATTACTTGAGGTCAGGAGTTCGAGACCAACCTGGCCAACATGGTGAAACCCCATCTCTACTAAAAATACAAAAAATTAGCCAGGCATGGTGGCAGGCACCTGTAATCCCGGCTACTCAGGAGGCTGAGGCAGGAGAATCGCTTGAACCCGGGAGGCAGAGGCTGCAGCGAGCCAAGATCGTACCATTGCACTCCAGCCTGGGCCACAGAGCAAGACTCTGTCTCAAATACATAAATAAATAAATAGTTGAAGAGCACATTGGGAGGCTGAGGCAGGTGGATCATTTGAGGTCAGGAGTTCAAGACCAGCCTGGCCAACATGGTGAAATCCCGTCTCTACTAAAAATACAAAAAAAGGACGGGCGCGGTGGCTCAGGCCTGTAATCCCAGCACTTTGGGAGGCC